AGGGCTGCCCGGGCAGGCAGCCACCAGCCCACCTCCCCCCCAGCACCCAGTACTCACTGGAGGAGCGTGCACGGCCACTCATGAAGACATTGAGAAACTTCTTGGAGAAGTGGATGTCTGCCTCGGGGGTGGAGTCCTCGGAGAGGCAGACAGAGTCATGCTTCAGTGCATCCTCCTCGTACTCCTCACCGATGGCCGACTCGTAGGGAGAGGAGACACAGTTGTCGTAGACAGTGGCCGAGTCGCTCTCGTCGCTATAGCCCGAGTAGCACTGCTTGAGGCTGACCAGCTCCAGCTGCATGTTCTCGTCCACCACCAGCGTGTACTTGACTGAGTCATAGGAGAGGGCACTGGTGTCCGAACTCACGGAGGCTCTCTGAAGGTTGTGTCCTGGCCGGGAGCCACCACTCCCACCACCGCAGGAGGCCCTGGGCAGGTTTGTCTTGTCAGGGGAGGACATGTAGTCCAGCACCTCGTCCTCCTCACTGATGGAGGGGTTGGTTTTCCCTGCCAGGGCCGAATAGCCAGAGGTGTCAATGTCGGAGCTGATGGACATGCGGTTCTCACTGGATTGAGACAGGAACGGCTTGTCAGTCTCCAGGGGGTCCGAGTTCTTCTGCACAGGTGTCAGGTAGATCTCCTCTGTGGCCTCCAGCCTCACATCCGTCTGGTAGCGGATGCGGTCCCGGTGGGCCTCGGGGCCCCTTGATGTCACCACTACTACACTGGCGCCATGTGGTGGGGGCCGGCTGGTGGCCTGGTGCTTCTCGGGTGGCCGGGATGAGGCAACACAGGCAGGTGCCATCTGGGTGGCTGCTGTGCGCCGGCACGGGCTCTCTGTGGATGTGCCCCGGTCTTTGGTGGAGGTTGTGCTGTTTTGGTGATTGACCTCATCACTCAGGCAAACGTGGTCGTGGGGAGGGGTCTGCTCACCTGGAGGGGGAGGAGAGCATCATTGACAGCCCTGCAGGGGGTGATGCTCCCAGCTGGGGATGCCACCAGACTCAAGCTGGACATGCCTTGCATCCATCTGGGACGTTTTCCCCAACCTCCTGCTCTGGCACCACTTGCCCCAGGCTCTGAGCAGCAGATTCACTCCTGAGAGCCATGAAAGGGTGCAAGGAGCTGCCCCTGGCCCACAGCCCAAGAACTCACCCGTTTTCAGAGGGGACGATGACTGGGACACCCGCTCCTGCCAACTGTGCTTTTTCCCCAGAGAGTTGTTATTCAGAGTGTCCTAAGGAGAACAACAAAGCCGCCTTGTAGCCTGAAGAGTAAACAGTGCGTGGCATGGTGGTGGCAGCACCCATCCCTCCCCGGGTCTGCAGCACCTCGCTCGGTTCCCCCCTTGCCTGGGCATGTGGTGCTTGGGGGGACCCCCCACCAGCCCCACATCTCACCATGCCACTGCTGCAAGAGCTAGCGTGGTGGCTGAAGCAGTGCAGGCAAGGAGCCAGCCAGGAGGCTGACAGCCTGGCCTGAACAGATGTATTCATCTGCCCTGGCGAGACTCAGATGCAGGACCCCATGGCTGGATGGTCCCAAGCCAAAAATTCAAGAGCTGAGCCTGCCTGGAGCCTGCCTGGGCTGCTTTGCTCCTATTCCTCTGGCCCTGCTCACCTTCAAACCACCCAGCTTAGTAAATGGGGGAAGTCCCAAGGGCCAGGGAATGTGCTGCTGCCCAGCTGGGAGCCAGCTACTGGATAGACTTAACACCTGCTACTGGCATCATCCATTTTGAGTGTGTATAGGGGCACACATACACATGCACACACACGTATATATATACGTGCGTATCTATACATGCACACACACACACACACATATATATATAGTTCACCAGCAGACATCCATCCTGATCAGCTGGAGAGGAGAGGCAGGATCTGTGCTCAGGTGAATTTCTGTGGGTGCTGTGCCCTGCCTGCCTTGCCCCGGGTGGCCAGTCATGCATGTGCACATGTGTGTGCACACAGGGGAACAGGCGCTCAGCCTCACTGCGAGACCTGGGGACTGAAGACCACCAGGTAACCTCTAATAAGGGCCCTCCCTCCTGCAGACGGGGGACAAGTTGTCCCTGCCTGCCTCAGCAAGGCATGACATCCTGTCTGCTGCAGCCCCAGCCCTGGCCTCCATCCTCTCCTCCACCCATAGGTTCTCCCTGGCTGCCCACTCCCAGCCCCTCCCGTGGGGCACTGGGTGTTCCTCCCCCAGCTGCAGCAGTCACATTTTCCACACCGTTAGTTTTTGCTCAAGTACTAAGACCCCGTGGGACTCCCTGGATTTTCTCACGGCCTTATCAGCAGCCTGCAGCTATTACCAGCAGCACAGGAGCTGCCCCATCCATCCTTGCTTTGCTACCCCACCAACACGAAGCAAGCCTTTGCCCTGAAAGTCCACTGAGTCACACGCTGTGGAACTGTGGCTCCCAGATCCCTGTCTCCATGCAGGGAGGGGAGAGATCCCCACCACAGGGCACCAGCAACCTCCCAGCACAGCCTCTGCAAGCCTCTCCTGTGCCAAGGCAAATAACAGCGTGTCCCCACTTGCCTTTCTCAGGGACATGATGGCTCGGGACACAGGCCAGGCAAGCTGCCGCAGCGATGGCCTCTGTGTGCAAAGTGCCATGGGGCCAGCACACGAGTCATCCTGGCTGCCCGAGCTGGGACAGGAGGCAGCAACGCAGCAGGCAGAGCCCACCGAGACCACCCACCCCACAGGGCCAGGGTGCTTTAGGGTCTGCAATGCCCAGCTAGGGTCAAGACGCATTCACAAGGTCTCAGAGGATGAACTTAGCCTGTCCCAGCAGCTGTTTCTTCCCTTCCTGGGAAGTTGGGGATATTCCTCTCACTGTCTCCAGGCCATCTGCCTGGGATGATGATCACAGAGAGCCCAGCAGCAACCGAGACATCACCAAGCCAGCTCCTAGCCCCACAAGGAGAAGATGGAGCAGAGGGTGGGATGGTGCACACCCTGCCTGGCACAAGGAGACTGCAGCTGTGGGAGGCCATGGTCCCTCTTCTAACCACCTTACAGGAGTCAGGAGCTGGGCAGGCCAGGAGGGTCTGACACTGGTGAAGGTGGATCTCCCAGGCTGATCCCAAAGGGATGCCCTGCACCCTGATCTCTCCTGGGGGCGCTACACGTGGCCAAAGTTAGGCATCCAGAACAGACACCCCAAGCACCTTACAGCCAGCCTGCCTCCGGCACTTCTGCCACTTGCTAGATGCCACGAATAGCACTGCCCTCCCCAGCCAACCTCAGCCCTGTGCATCCATCCCCGCTGCCTCCGGGCTTCCACTGCCAGCTGCAGCAAAGCCCCCACCTCCCATTCCCCATGTCCTCAGGTTGGGCCATACTCGTGGCTCCAGGTGCAGCCCCACAGACTCCACCATCCCCCTGCAAGGGGACCATCAGCTCCCCAGCCCCAGCCCACAGTCTATGCAAATCCCACCTCCCCGCCTCCCAAATCGCTACCAGCAGGCCTGCTGCCACCTCTGGACACTAGTTGGGAC